TATACATTTTGACCCAGTAATCCCACTTTCCCCTAGAGGAAATGTCTAAAATATAAGCAAAAGCTTATGCACAAAGATATTCAAAATGGCATATTTGATGCTATAGAAATTAATGTAGCCCAAATGCTTGAAAATACAAGGTTATGCAAATTTAAATTCATACCAAGAAATTGCATGCAGTTCTTGAAAATTATGTTTAAGTAATTTTTAATGATATGAAAATGCTTATGCTAAATAAAAAACAAAATATACAATTTAATATGATCTAAACTTTGTAATAATGTGATAGAAAAAAAATACTGAAAGAAAATACAGCAAAATCTAGTAGCAAGTTATTGCTGAGCATTGGAATCACAGCTCATTTAAGTTTTCTTCTTTCTTATGCTTTTCTGTATTGTCCAAATTGGCTCAGGGCAGAGGCATTGCTTTCATAATAAGTAAAAAGCAATAAAAGTTATTTTAGCTCTCTTGCTCCTGCTTCAGCCATGTAAGAAGTGCCTGATTTCTCTTTTCCTTCTGTCATGATTGAAAGTTTCCTGAGGCCTCCCCAGAAGCTGAGCAGATGCTAGCATTGTGCCTCCTATACAGCCTGTAGAACTAGCGGTTCTAGACAAGATGTTATAGGCAAATGAGAATGATGCCATCCCTCAAAATGTTGTAAGAACATTTGGATAGGGACTACCTAGACAAGCAGAATGGATGGATACTGGCTGGATGGAAGAAGGACATTCTGAATTTGGAGCTAAGAGTTGAAGGCATACAAAAAAGAGACTTGGTACTTGAAGCCTCATCCTCCCTGGCATCTTATCCTGCCACCTTCAGGAAGTTGACTACACTATGACAGTCAAGCCAAATTTGGGAAGTGAGAAAGTGATAAGGCTTTTTCTGTCAAGAGGGGGGACAGTGGCTATGCATGCTTCACTTTTCAGGACTACTTGGCAGAGTGCGAAAACCTCTTCCACCCCTTTCGTCTCAGCACAGAGTAGTTTGACAGTGAAGAAAGAGAGGGATCAGGCTGGGCACTGTGGCTCATGCCTGTAATCCCAGCACTTTGAGAGGCTGAGGTGGGCATATTACTTGAGCTCAGGAGTTTGAGACCAGCCTGTGCAACATGGTGAAACCCCGTATCTACTAAAAATACAGTAATTACCCAGACATGGTGGTGCATGCCTATGGTCCCAGTTACTTGGGAGGCTGAGGCACGAGAATCGCTTGAACCCAGTAGGTGAGGGTTGCAGTGGGCCCAGATCGCACCACTGTACTCCAGACTGGGTGACAAAGTGAGATTCCGTCTCAGAAAAAAAAGAAAAAAGAGAGAGATCCCTCTTTACAATTGCGCTTTTATCACTCGCATTATTGCTATTGTTATTCATCTTCCAAGGGTATACACGAAATCTACTTCTCACTCAGTCCACCCTTTTGTACCTGCAAGGAGAATCTCTAGTGTTGCTCACTGTTTTGAATTGGCACATTTGTTTGCCATCCCCTGTATCCATCAGGATACATTCCAAGGCCCCAATGGATGCCGGAAACCATACATAGTACCATACCCTATATATATAATTTACCAATTTCTCTTTTCTTCTTAACAATTTCACAGATAGAACACTTGTTCTTACCGTAGATCTTAACAACCTTAGTATAGATATTTTTTCTTTTTTTTTTATTCAGTGGAGAGTTAGTTACTTACTTAGAAATGTTTCTTTTCTTACTAAGTTCTTTAAGTGGAAAACTCTTCTTTTCACTTTTACTTTATTGAAACATTATAACAAATCTTTGAAGAAGATAATGTTATCATTCCATTATGATGAAACCAACTAACTTATCCAAGCAAGTGCATGCTGCTCACAGAAGAGCCAAGGTTAAAAAATCCCTATTTTCACTTTTTCTTAAGATTCAGCAGATACATGTACAAGTTTCTTATATGAGTATATTGCATAATGCCAAGAAGGTTCAAGCAGTTAAAGATGTGAATTTAAATGCCTTACACTTTTGCTCAGCAAGTAAGTTATGGATCACAACAAAATGGGTAGATATAACAGGTTTCAGTACAAAGGAGTCCACTAATGAAGCCAGGAAAATGGAAATAACCATCTGGTAGTAACAGGAGAGAAGATTCTGCTGCATACAGCACAGATATAGGAAGGTCCAGGCAGAGATCCCCACGGACCCTGTGATCACAGACCGCAGAGGGACATATCAATGTTTCGGCTCCTAAAACAACCATGCATGGTCTTTCCCCAGTGAACCAGTGAAGCTCCTGGTCACAGGCAACATTGAGAACACCGGCTTTTCACCTGCAGACCCCACCTCTTCTGACTCTTGAGACATTTACCTTTTGACCACAGAGACAGGACTCCAGAAAGACTGTGCCCTCTGGAACCACACTTACCAGAATCTCCTTCGGATGGGCCTACCTTTCCTGGTTTTGGTGACTCCTGGTTGAAGACTGGCTCATCAGGAAGAGGACTCAGAGACAGCCAACAGAGCTTCCACTTCGTAATGCAGGAGAAGGCTGAGAATACAAAGACCCCTTGAAGAATGACCAAGAGACGCAGTGGCCATGGGTGGAATTGAAAGCCGATCTTGAGCCTGGATGGTGGGAGCTCTGTGTTGGACCCAGGGAGGAGGGAGTCATTGCAGGAAAAAGGGACAGTGACATTCCATTTGTCAAAGCATCCTGGAGGAGGCAAGAGGTGGGAGAAACAAGCTAAATTTCTTTTGGATGCAAAAAAAAAAAGTTATTTAAAAAACTCAGCTTAAGTAGCACTTCAGAGAAGTAAGGTCCCTTTCTCCTACAATGTGGAATATATGTATACACACATAATTTGTATTTATTTATGCATATATAAATTAATGAAAAGCATGGTCTGCTGGGCATGGTGTGTCACACCTGTAATCCGATCACTTTGGGAGGCGGATCACAAGGTCAGGAGATAGAGACCATCTTGGCCAACATGGTGAAACCCCATCCCTACTAAAAGAAAAAAAAAAGCTGGGTGTGGTGGCACACACCTGTAGTCCCAGCTACTCAGTAGGCTGAGGCAGGGGAATAGCTTGATCCGGGAGGCCGACGTTGCAGAGATCACAGCCACTGCACTCCAGCCTGGCAAAAGGGCAAGACTCCATCTAAAAACAAACAAACAAACAAAACCATGATCTTACCAAAGACAATCATCTACTGACCTATCTGTATCTTTCTCTTGGAAAAGTGAGAGCCCCTAGGATTATGAGGGCAGGGATTTGGCCTTTTACCTCTATAACTTTGGCATCTATGCATTGCAAGGTATGTAGCAGATTTCTTTTTTTTTTTTGAGACGGAGTTTCGCTCTTGTTACCCAGGCTGGAGTGCAATGGCACGATCTCGGCTCACCAAAACCTCCGCCTCCTGGGTTCAGGCAATTCTCCTGCCTCAGCCTCCTGAGTAGCTGGGATTACAGGCACGCACCACCATGCCCAGCTAATTTTTTGTATTTTTAGTAGAGACGGGGTTTCACCATGTTGACCAGGATGGTCTCCATCTCTTGACCTCGTGATCCACCCGCCTCGGCCTCCCAAAGTGCTGGGATTACAGGCTTGAGCCATCGCGCCCGGCAGATTTCTAACAAATATTTGCTTTTTGGAGGAAAAGGAAGCTGTGCTGTTTTTAAACTTTGGACCAGGACAGGTGGTCTTCATTATTCAAGCTAAGAATTAAAAAACCCATACTTTATCAAAAACAAACTTTTTTGAAAAAAACACTAGAGTAAAACTTTTTTTTGTGTGTGTGTGAGTCAAATATTCAGAGTTAGGTATTGTTTTCAATAAAGTCCAGGACGATGAACAGAATAAAGATGCATGCTGTAATTATTCCCTGAACTACAATAACATGATATTAACACTAATGTTTTTCTCAAAACATTAAACTCAAAATTTAACACAGTGTTCTTCCAGATGAGCGTGAAGGAAGGCAGGTGTTTTCCCAATGCTGTTCTTCTCCTTGGGAACTGTCAGCTTCAGTGCAATATTTCACAGCTAGGCTGTAAACAAACGTTCATTCCAGTTGGCTCAACATACATTAAACAAAATACCAGAAGTGAGTGGTCTCTTGCTCTCCAAAATGTATGATCTCGAGCAGACTTCTACTGTGAAGATGTTCCTAGTTTGCCTGCATCACTCTCAGCTGGAAGTTGTTGTCCCGTTTTAACAGTTAGGTAACATCATGTTTTATGTGAGAATTCTGAATAGCACCAGAGACAAGAAAACAGACTAACTGGTCTGATACTACCACATCTTGGCGAAAAGCGAGACCCCTGTTTAGAACGTTAAAGAAATCTTATTTGGCCGGGCGCGGTGGCTCAAGCCTGTAATCCCAGCACTTTGGGAGGCCGAGGCGGGTGGATCACGAGGTCAAGAGATCGAGACCATCCTGGTCAACATGGTGAAACCCTGTCTCTACTAAAAATACAAAAAATTAGCTGGGCATGGTGGCACGTGCCTGTAATCCCAGCTACTCGGGAGGCTGAGGCAGGAGAATTGCCTGAACCCAGGAGGCGGAGGTTGCGGTGAGCCGAGATCGCGCCATTGCACTCCAGCCTGGGTAACAAGAGCGAAACTCCGTCTCAAAAAAAAAAAAAAAAAAAAAAAAAAAGAAATCTTATTTGGGGAACCCCGTAATAGGCGGGGGCTGGGCGGGAAACCCACGTTGCTGGATTTGTCAGCAGAGTTTCCTCTAGTAGGAACCAGAGGGTTCCAGTGAGTGTCACCTCCCAGTATGACAATAAATTTTCTTTCAGGCTTTGTTTGTGCCATTATACGTGTGTGGAGTGGTCGGTGGAGCAGTTTTAGGTCCTGATGATCTGGAGGGTGACTCGTCATCACCCCGAAACGTATGAGGACCCTAAGGAAACCTCCCCTGGGGCAGTGGGAGGGCTGGGCTTAGAGCCTGTGCGTCGGGGCAGCCCCCGGCGGGGGTTCCCCCGGCCCCCCACCCCTGTCCTGGGCCCAGGCGCCCCGCCCCGTCCCACGTCGCTCTGAGCCGCGCCCCTCTGCACCCCGACCGCCTCCACAGCACCCCGCGCCCCGCCGTCAGGCCCCACCCCCCAGCCCTGGGCCGCGCCCCACATTCCTACCCGAGCCGCAGCACCCCGCCAGGAGGAACCCCCTCGAGCCGCCGCTCGTTGGGCTTGAAGCGCAGCGCGCCTATTGGCCAGTGCGGCCGGGAGCGGGAAAAGCGGCCAACGGCCGCGCCGGCGCTCCGGCTGCTGAGGAGATGGCGTCCGGCTCCGGTGCCTCGGCGCCGGCGGACTCAGTCGACACCATCAGCCCCGGAAGGCGAGGCGGCGGGGCTGCTTCCGCCGTCCCCGCGGACACGGCGGCCGAGACCACACTGAAGAGCACCGCGGTCACGGTGCGGTCGGTGGTGGCCTCGCCTCGCCCGGTGAAGGGGAAAGCGGGCCGGGAGGCGGCCAGGTGGCGGCTCCAGCGCCTGCCGGCGGCGCAGGCCGCGGACCCGGGAGAGGCGGCCGAGGAGGAGGAGGAGGCCCTGCTGTCGGTGCCCGAGGACGAGGAGGAGGCGCAGCCCCTGCCCCCCATCTGCGTGTCCCGCGTGAGGAGGATGTGGCGGAAAGAGAAGGTGGCGCTGTACTGCGACCAAGTGCTGCAGGACTGTAAGGTGAGGAGGTCCGGGACGCGGCGCACGGACGGTCCGGGGCCACCCTCCCGGGGGGGCGGGCCCGCGGGCGCGACGGGAGCCTGCGTTTCAGAAACTCTAATGGCGTCACCGTGCGTAGAGACTCACCTTGTTCGAGGTGCCGTAGAGGGTTTAAGGTTGGAGTTTCCGACAGAATTCGTCCGTTAACGGGACGGCCCGAGAGGGTTTTCTAAGAGCTCCTAAAAAACGAACAGACGCGGACCTTATGATGGTGCAGGCGTGAGTCTTTGCAGCTTTCTTTAACACTTGGTGTCCAAACGTGAGTCAGATCACCCAGCCTTGCCTTTTACGCTAGAATACTAGAAATTACTTTTAAGGACGGGCGCGGTGGCTCAAGCCTGTAATGCCAGCACTTTGGGAGGCCGAGGCGGGCGGATCACAAGGTGAAGAGTTCGAGACCATCCTGGCCAACATGGTGAAACCCCCTCTCTACTAAAAATAGAAAAATTAGCTGGGCATGGTGGTGCGTGCCTGTAATCGCAGCTACTCGGGAGGCTGAGGCAGGAGAATCTCTTGAACCTGGGAGCAGAGATTGCAGTGAGCCGAGATCGCGCCACTGCATCCAGCCTGGGCCACAGAACCAGACTCCATCTCCAAAAAAAAAAAAAAAAAAAAGAAAAAGAAAAAGGAAAAGAGTAGTTCCCACGCAGCAGTCCACGATGCGGCATGTTATTTTGAATAGAAAATACATACCTGTTAAAACGGAATAGAGCAAATATTTAGTGTTTCTAAGCTGGTTTTTTAAGTTGCAGCAGAATTTGTGTACATGCATCTTGATTATGGGGATATTTATAAAAAGTTAAAAATTACTTTAAGACACGGTAACTAGCTGTCTTATCTATGAATTACTCGAGTGAATAGATCTTTTAAGTTTAATTTTTTGTTGATGATGTTTTCCACTAGATGTGTTTCCGTTAAAATTTGTAATTTTCTAGGTCATTCATTATTTAAGGCTACATTGTTTCCATTTTAAAATAGGAATTAGTTTTAAAAAAGTTGAAAATCTATAACTGTATATATTTATACATAGATATGTATTTTTTTCTCTTGTTAGGCAGAAGATGCTGATGAGGTGATGGGCAAATACCTATCAGAAAAATTAAAGCTGAAAGACAAATGGCTTGGAGTGTGGAAGACTAATCCCGATGTATTTTTTGTGAAATATGAAGAAGCTTCTATCCCTTTTGTTGGAATACTGGTTGAGGTAAATAAATTTTATTTGATCTTTGTTCTTTTTGAATCAGTTCTTTTAAAGGCTAAAATGTGACTTTGTAGACTTATCCACAAAAGTTGACACATTTCAGGTGCTGCTCCTGAAAAAAAAAAGTTGACACATATTACTTCCGTTTTAAGTTTCTGAGAAAATAGTGTAAAAAGGTAAAGAGAACATTAGTGCTTGTAAACCATTATCATTAAATGGGATCCAGTAGTATCAGACAATACTCATTAGCCTAGTTTTTGCTCAAATAATGTAAAAATAACAAAAATGCATTTCTTATAAAATTAGCAATTTAGTCTTTAACAAATTTGAGCCTTCTTTTTCTCTTTTTTTTTTAAATCTTCATTTATCTGAATTATGAAGCTTAGTTCAGATGAGGAAAGAAAAAGAAATGGATCAGAAAACTATTGGCAAAACATGAATTTTTTTTGTTTTGAAAAGTACCTTTCTAGTATAATATCTTCCAAGCCTTTTGTCTGATAAGATTTTTCTTTGTTAGACTGTAGGCTAAACACTGTGGCATGTTTGGTTCCATTACACGTCAATTATCCTTGTATAGAAATTAACATTTATAATCACAAGTGATACCCTTGCCCCAGATAGGTAATTTAAATCTGTATTTTTGGTCACAAGAAAATCTTATGTTTGTAACTCATTATGTTATATACTACTTGAAAACAATTAAAAAATATGTCTTCTACAGAAAAGTTAGTGCCAGTTTTACAGATAAAGCGTGGTGCCCAGGTGCAGTGGCTCATGACCAGCCTGAGCACCATGGCAAAACCCTGTCTCTAAAAAAAAAAAAAACAGGCACACAACCTGTGGTCCCAGGTACTCAGGAGGCTGAGGTGGGAGGATCGCTTGAGCCTGGGAGGTAGAGGTTGCAGTGAGCCTGGGCAACACTGTGAGACCCCATCTTAAAAAAAAAAAAAAAAAAAAAAAAAAGAATATCATATTTGCAGTCATAGAGATTACAAAAGGAATGTAAAAGATTCTTGGGATTAGCTAATTTTTCAATAATCTATTTTTCAATAAGACTTTATTCGTCTTTGTGCATTTCTTATAAAACTAGCAATTTAGTCTTTAACAAACTTGGGCCTTCTTTTTCCCTTTTTCCTTTAATCTTCGTTTATCTGAATTATGAAGCTCAGTTTAGATGAGGAAAGAAAAGAAATGTAATTTTTTTTTTCAGTAATATTCTGTTTTCCTTTCTTTTTTCTTTTTTTCTTTTCTTTTTTTTTTTTTTTTGACAAGGTCTCACTCTGTTGCCCAGGCTGGAGTGCAGTGGTACAATCTCAGCTCACTGCAACCTCTGCCTCCTGGTTTCAAGCAATCTTCCAACCTCAGCCTCCTAAGTAGCTGGGTCCTCAGGTGCACACCACCACACCTGGCTAATTTTTCTATTCTTAGTAAAAATGGGATTTTACTATGTTGGCCAGGCTGGTCTCGAACTCCTGATCTCAAGTGTTCCACCCACCTCAGCCTCCCAAAGTCCTGGGACTACATACAGGTGGAGCCACCATACCTGACCAGTAGTACTCTGTTTCTTAGAGGTTTGCTCATCTTCAGACTTTGAGTAGCTTTGCCTAGATCTTTCACAACTTCTCTGGATTTTTTTTTCATCTGGTTAAAAGTGATTTTCATCTGGCTGTATTTTTTTTTTTTTTTTTAGCAATATAAGTTTGTGGGGTTTTCTTCAATCAAGTTTTATGTGGAAGCTTAACATTAAAGCAAAACATTTCTGATTGAAATGAATGATGGTGTCTTAGCATCTCTCTCAATACCCCATAGCCCCGATACTCCATAAAACTTTTCAAGAGCTCTAAACTTTCATGGAAACTCAGTGGATTAGATTACCTAAAAGTTCTATCAATTTTTAAGGTTTTACTTGCAGTACATAGATTATTTAATCTCTCCCCGCTACTTTAGAATTCTATAGGGGCTAGTAATCTCCTTTAAATGTTAGAAAGACAGGATGAAACATGAGAACAGAGGAAAAAGCAGAGTAGTATATTGGCAGATTATAATTATTTTGTGACAGATAAACAAGTGAGAGTAGCTCTTGGGACCTCTAAAGATAGTGTTCCACAATCATATTGTTGTTTTCTCTGACTCTGCTTCTTTTTTTTTTTTTCCTCTTTGAGACGGAGTTTCGCTCTTGTTACCCAGGCTGGAGTGCAATGGCACGATCTCGGCTCACCGCAACCTCCGCCTCCTGGGTTCAGGCAATTCTCCTGCCTCAGCCTCCTGAGTAGCTGGGATTACAGGCACGCACCACCATGCCCAGCTAATTTTTTGTATTTTTAGTAGAGACGGGGTTTCACCATGTTGACCAGGATGGTCTCGATCTCTTGACCTCGTGATCTACCCGCCTTGGCCTCCCAAAGTGCTGGGATTACAGGGACTCTGCTTCTTTAGTCTCACTTCAACTGAAGTATTAAAAATGCTATATAATGCTCTTTGTTCTGTAGTCACAATTTATTCCAATGAACCCCCAATCTCTTTTTCTTTAGATGCTGTATTAGTTTTCTATTAATACCACAGCAAATTACCACATTTGGTGGCTCAAACAATACACATTTATTATCTTACAACTCTGTAGATCAGAAGTCTGCTATGGGCCTAACTGAGCTAAAATTAAAGTGTATGCAAGACTGCATACCTTTGTGGAGGCTGTAGGTGAGAATCTGATTCCTTGCCTTTTTTAGCCTCTAGAAGCAGCCTGAATTCTGTATCTTGTGGCCCTCTTCCTCTGTCTTCAGTGTACTTCTCACATTGCATCTTTCTGGTTCATAACAGGCTAAAAAGGTGACCCCCTTTTAATTGAATCACGATTAGAATGGGCCCAACTGGGTAATCCAAGATAACCTCCACATTTCAGTCTTTAATTGTAATCACGTCTATGAGGTCCATTTTGCCACGTAAGGTAACATTCACAGATTCCAAGGATTAGGGCATGGACATCTTTGGAGGCCATTATTCTTCCTAGCATGAATTCATACAATAACCAACCAACAAACAAAAAACTTAGAAACACAATGCAGTTGACTCTTGAAAAATGCAGGGCCCTGCACAGTCAAAAATCCATGTCTAACTTTTGACTTCCCAGATACTTAACTAATAGCCAACTGTTAACTGGAAGTCTTACTGATAACATGTACGGTTGATTAACACATATTTTGTATGTCATAAATATTATAAACATTGTATTCTTACTATAAAATAAACTAGAGAAAAGGAAATGTTATTAAGAAAATTGTAAAGGCAGGGCACAGGGGTTCATACCTGTAGTCCCATCACTTTGGGAACCCTAGGCAGGAGAATTGCTTGAAGTCAGGACTTTGAGACCAGCCTGGGCAAATAGCAAGGCCTTATCTCTACTAAAAATTTTTAAATGAGCTGGGTGGTGGTGCACACCTATAATCCTATCTACATGGAGGGGAGAGGATCATTTGAGCCCAGAAATTTGAGAGCAAGACCCTGTCTCATAAAAGAAAAATCGTAAGAAAGAGAAAAATATATTTACTATTCATTATATAGAAGTAGATCATCATAAAGATCTTCATTTTTGTTGTCTTCATGCCGAATGGGCTGAGGAGGAAGAGTTTGTCCTATTGTCTCTAGGGTGGCAAAGGCAGAAGAAAATACGCATATGAATGGACCCATCCAGTTGGAATCTGTGTTGTTCAAGGGTCAACTATACTTGATTGGAAGGAAATCTAGCATACCTTTAATTCTGGTTACAAAACAGTCCAAAAATTAAGAAAACTTTGTTATAACTTCTGTACAAAGCGGTTTGGCAACGTATAGCAAGAACTTTAACCTAGAACTTTATTTCTGGAAATTTCTTCTATGAAAATCAGAAATGTAGAAGAACATTGCTTCTTGGCCTTTTGCCTAAGATCCAAGTGTAGAAATGCAGAACAAGATGGAGGTTGCAGTGAGCCGAGATTGTGCCATTGCACTCCAGCCTAGGTGACAGGGTGAGACGCTGTTTCAAAAAAAAATTGAGAATATCATAAAAGTTTAGTAATTGGTTGCTGGTCATATAAAAGATTATCCACAAGATAGAATATTATGTAGATATAAAACCAATATTTAAGAAATCTGGTAATGACTCAGAAAATGCTTATTATATAATATAAAATGAAATGTAAGATACAAACTAGATATGCAGTATGATCTAACTACTATGTGAATTATGTAAATAGGACTGAAACTGGAAGATAAAAAGCAAAAGGTTAACAGTGGTGATATTAATTTTTTTTACAAACAGTGTGTAATAGTCACCATCAGCAGGCTTTTTTGTAAGTACCTATTACCCTTCCCCCAATTTTTTGTCTACATGCTTTGGAATTTTGTTTATATTTCTTGATGAGGCTTAGAGAGTCTTTGATTTGGAGAGGTTTAAGAAACTCTTAGTGGATTCCAGAATCTGGCTATTTTCCTCATTCTACTGTATCATATTTCTGAAGAGGCAAATAGTCACTTTGAGCTGCTCTCAACACATCTTGCATCATGGTTATTTCCACGATGGTTCTTTCCATTTTCGCAGTTTCATTAGTAGACTCCTTTGTACTGAAGCCTGTTCTACCTACTCATTTTGTTATGATCCATAACTTACTTGCTGAGCAAAAGTGTAAGGCATTTAAATTCACATCTTTAACTGCTTGAACCCTTACCTTATCTTAAGCTACAACCTGTTTCTCTTCTTTATTTCCTTATAAGGCCCCCCAAAATATATTAAATGTCTCAACTTTCTAACCTTCTGTCTACCCATTTGTGGTTAAATATTTTCTAAGTTTTATAAAAAACGCACATAGTTTATAGAATCAAATAGAGTTATTTTTGTTATGAAAAGCTGCAGTGACCCAAACCTTATCCACCTTCTGCTGACATTTCTATTTTCCAGGTGCAGCCAATTTCAGCAAGTTAAATTAATTATAGTAGTATTAATTCCTTATGTCCAAGTAATATGCTTATAT